AATTGCCTGGAATTACATGGTGGCAGTGAGAGGCCAGACCTTGCTGTAAATAACTTTCTTCTCAGCCAAACACACCGAGCTTTGCTGTCTACTGCTTTTTTTCTTTAGATTATTTCAGTTGAAAGGAGGTGAGTTTTTTTTGGCTGTGGGTTTTTTTTTTTTTTTTTTATGCTTTGTTTATTCTTGTCAGGAATTGATTCTCATTTTCCTATCTCTCTTGCTCTTACCAAATGATGTGATTATGGTGGACAGGGCAGGTTCCTATTCACAGTAAAATTTCTGTGTGCTTTTATAGCACAAGGCTATATTAGGACTGACGTACCTTTGCCAGGGAATGTAGCTCTGCTGCTGCCCTCTGATGTGCTGGTGCTTTGTCTGTCACAACTGAACCAGTGGGAAGTTGGTGCATTGGCTTTGGTTGTGATTATCACCTACAAGCCACTTAGTGAAGGCATTATAGCAATGTGTGCTTGTGTTATTAACTGCAAGCATAACACTGTTCACACCACTTCCACCATCAGTTTTTCAGTTTAATCTGAGCTGTGAAGTGGCTGTTCTATCTGTGGAACATGTCCCTAACAAATCTTTATACTAGAACTCATATTCCCTGCCGAAGAATCAGCACCAGTAGTTGATGTGTCTTTGTCTTTGAAGCCATTAGTCTCCCAGAGCGGATCTTCAGCCTGCATCAGAAGGTGGTCCTCCCTGTTGTGGTGGCTGAAGGAGAGCAGAGCTCTTTCTACTGTACAGTAGAACATGGACATGTCGATAGTACATGGTTGATTTTGGCTTTTAAAAATACTACTTTTATGGGAAATGTAGTATCTTGTAACAGAACTTAATCTCTAACCTGTACTAGAAATCAGTGTTGCAAGGAAAGAGGAGAATCAGTGTCTGAAGGAAGGGAAGTGGCACAGGTAGGACCAAGTATTGATTTACAGGGTAAGTGAAACATGACTCAGTGGCTCTGTGTGTGGCAGTGGGGAGGAACTGTCTGTAGGGATGGGACAGAAGTAGCTGTGAAAGCAGTCCAAAGAGAGGAGAGTGAGAGGTTATTTGCAAGGGAGTATCATGATGTTGGTAAACTCAAGATTTTAAGTATCTAATCATCTTGTTTCTCCCTTTAGCAATGGAGCATACCCTTTCTGGTTCAATGTTCTTTTTCCCTGGAAATAGACACATCCATCATATCTCCTCATCTTCACTGTTTTCTTTTTTTGGTTTGCTTTTTTTAAAGCTAGCTGATTCTTAGTGCTTACTGATTCCTTATTCCTCAATTTCCTGGTCTTTCCCTGTAATTTTCTTTCTTAGCCCCTAAGTTGTGCTATCCAGAATTAAAGTGTTTGAGATAGGACTTGCCATAGATCAATAGCAGGAAGGGATTCTGTGTGCCTTGGTCATTTATATATGCATCATACATTGGCTTTTAGTTTCTGCTTTATTTTACTACAGGTTCCTCTTCACATCGCTCCCTCCTAGACCATGTGTTACTTTCAAGTGTCTGTTTTTCGATTGAAAACAAGCAAGTAGACTGTGAACCTGATATACAGTCTCTCTCAAGCTTAGTGTTTTCATTCCTTGCTCACACAGAAATGTTGCTGGTGCTAGGAAAATAGAATTGCTATCATCCTGTGCAGACATGGCTGGCTTACCTGAGTATAAAAAGGAGAGAGGTTCAAGCAAATTGCCATTTCTGTTCTGCACAAAAACGTGTCAGGGCACAGAGCCAACTAGACCTGGCTTCATCAGGAAGGTGAATCATCTAGTTTCCAAAAATAGCTGTTTAAAAAGAGAAAAGACGCAGATGCAACTGAGGTGGGAGGAGGCAGTGGTGCTTCCAGTATGTGAATAGTTCAGTCTGTGTGTTGGCCTGTGCTGTGCTTGCACTTTCCTTTCCCCATGAATCAACTTGATCTCCACCTGCAGCTTAGTGGCCTTGGGAGCCCCAAAGGACCAGGGTTCATTCAGAGGAATAAATAATGGAAAAGGGTGTGATTTCTTGTCCTAGTTGGTGTCCTAGCCTCCTGAGCTTTGGTCCCTTGGGAATCCTTTGCCAGTGGTGATTGGAAGTCTGGCAGTGACACCATCTGGCATCCAACAAAGCAAGGGTTGGCTTTGTAAATTGGTTTGTTGAGTTTTTTACACATGCAGCTTAATAAAATTTGCAAATAACCTGCAACAGAAAAAGCTTACTCCTTGAGATCTTGCCCAGTAAAAGGTGAAGCCAGTTTTTCCTCTATGCCTCTGCATGTGATTTGATGGGACAGGTATGTAGATGGTTCTGCAGTTCCCTACTAAAGCAAGCTGAGGACATTCTGGTCTGTTCTGCAGCTGAATGTCCCTTGTAAACAGCCAAGCACATGTGTTTAAGAATACCTTCTTTATTTTCCTTCCTGTTACAATCCTTGCTTCTCTATGGCTTTTGTTGGGAAAGGCGTTATTACCAGCAGCCTCCTGGGCTTTCTTTTGTGCTATGGCAATTTTGCAGTTCTCGTGAACCTGAAAGGCCAAGTGTGCTGGAGTAATCAGATTTCCCAGTTCTCCCCCAGTGCTTGAGAAGACTGATGCCAGGTCCCCTGACAAGGCCTTTTTGACGCAGGACTACAGAGAAGATCTGGTTGTGTGGAGGGCCTGTGGCACTGGGCTGCAAGGGAGGAATGTGCTTTGCAGTAACACATCACCCACCAGTGTGGTACTTGCTTACAGGGCAGTGTTTTGGTCTTGTCTCTCTTCATGAGCTGGCTCACAGGTCTGCTGACCTAATCCAGACTGAATATTCTTACTTGTACAAGGATGGAGTCAAGTGAGGTAGAGTCTAGTTCAGACAATTTTGTTGTGGTGGATCCAAGTTTTTTCCTTGTTCCATCACTGAAAATTGTTTAAGAAAAACTACTTAACTAAATTTTTGAATTCCTGCTTTGATGATTTGGGTTAATGTCTTTCCCCTCCCTCTCTGTTAACCCCATCTGATAGAACATAGTCCTATTCTTTTCTCTTCCTTCCTGTACACTTTTATTAAGTACTTTAATCATGTGTCATTAAAAAGCAACTAAGAGTAAATGTCAAATGAAGCTCTTAGTTAGCACTCCAGAAAATACCAGCCATTGGATGTTTAAACTGTACCTTCCTTACGTGAAAACTGTAAGTTTTGCCATTTTTGTAGCTCACCTGCCTCCAGCTAAGCCAAGGGCAAAGAAATAGACTACACCACATGGATTCTGGGAAGTGAAGTTGGTTTTATATTTTTAAATCTCTCCTTCTTTATAATCTTCTGTGCTACTAATAACATGGGCTGATTTTTGGTTTTAATATCTGATTTCTATCTTGACTGCATTCCTTTAACCTTTCCTCAGAGATTTTATTTTCTAAACCTTTGATGGATTTTGCTTCCCTCCTGCTGATGTTTTTCATTTATTGGAGGAGAATAAAATAATAATTATAATAATAAAACCCACTGTTTCGCTGGAGGCAATTCACTGGTTGAGGTTTTCATGTGAATGTAGCCCTTTTAATCCTAGAAAACAGGATTCTCCTCCTAATCTCTAATCCCTGAGTACTTTAGCTATTAATCTTGAGAAGCGTTTTCCCCTCCCCATCTGAGATTAACCTGAGAGTGGTTACCCATGGTTACTGGCCTCTTTTTTTCCTTTTGCTTTCCCATGAGGCTTGGAGGCTAAGGCGGGTGAGAGACAAATTCTGGCCCTTTTATCTGTCTGCATTTAGTTTCTGGGCCTTTGGACACCCTCTTTCATTGGATTGGTTTGATGGATCCTTGTTCAGCAGTAAAATATAGACACATCCTTGCTTGGCAGCTTCCAACCAGTTGCAGACAAGGACATCTGAATCTGTTTTTCTCTCAGCGGAATAGGAAGATAGCTTCTTTTGGCTTCATAAAAGAGAAATTCAAAAGAAGTGTGTGAGATGAAGGAACCCATGAGGTGTTTGTCTCCTTTCAGTCCCTTCTCCTTCAGGCAATAATTTTCTTCCCCTGTATTATCGTATCCTGGGATGCATCCAAAGAAGTGTAGCCATCAGGCTGAGGGAGAAGATTCTCCCCCTCTACTGTGCTCTTGAAGAGCCCTCCTGGAGTTCTGCATCCAGCTCTGAGGACCCCAGCATAAAAAGGATGTGGCTCTGCTGGAATGAGTCCAGAGGAAGGCCACAAAAATGATCAGAAAACTGGAGTACCTCTCCTATGAGAAAAGGCTGACAGAGCTGGGATTGTTCAGCCTGGTAAACAGAAGGGTCCAGAGTGACCCTATACTCTTTCCCAGTACCTGAAGGGGACCTACAAAGAAACTGGAGAGAAATTTTTACAAGGACATGTAATGATAGGGCAAGGAAGAATGGCTTTAAACTGAAAGAGGATAAATGTAGATTAGATAGTTGGAAGAAATTCTTTAAGGGTGGTGAGACATTGGAACAGGCTGCCCAGAGAAGCTGAGAATGCCCCATCCCTGGAAGTGCTCAGTGACAGTCTAGTTGGAGCTCTGAGCAACCTGATCTAGTGGAAGGTGCCCCTATACTTGGCATGGGGGTTACAACTAGACGATCTTTTAAGTCCTTTCCACCCCAAACTATTCTATGATTCTATTATGTCCTTTTGGGAGTTGTAAAGTGAATTTTGGTTTCTGCTGCCATTTTTTTCCCTTCTGAATGTGTCACGCTCTTCATTTATGTCCTGCATGTTATTTATAATCTTTGAGTGTGCTTTGCTGTTTTGTTTTTAGGGCTGTGCTCATGGAACTAGCCTGTCAGCTTGGGATTCCTGCTGCAGCTTGTGACTCCTAGGACTTGTATTTCTATTCTCCGGCATAGGCTGGGTCATGCATACTGCTCCCAGATTTGTATATTTGGAGGTGTTGGATGGGCTGCCCATTGGTTGTTTGAAGGTGTTCGTGCATTGAGCTGCATGTTATGGGTTGTATTCCTATTGTTGTGGATCCAAGAGTACTTGGTCTACCATATCTCCTCCTCTATTCACACATTCTGTCCACACCTGACTGTTCCTTACACTGTATTTTGGGGAGAGCCATTTCTGAATATGTTCTAACCCTCCAAAGTGTGAGCTCAAAGCTGTTACTGAGACCAAACTTGCTTGCACTGCAGGAAAGCAGTTTTGTGAGCAGACATGCAGTGTGTCTTCCCAAGAGCCTCCAAGGTGTCAGAATGGATGCAGACAGCCTTCATGAGGGCCATGGGCAGTTGTCAAGACAGCAGTCCTGTGCTGGAGTGAGGGCGTGCTTGATTGTGACTGCTGGTGGAGCTGCTGAAACAGCATGCCAAGCCCTAGGGGAGAGGGATGCAAGCCATTAACTGAGGACACTGTTCTGTAGTTCACCATTTGTAAATGTTGCCTGATTTTTTTTAATGAACTGAGGTTTTTCAAATAATTTCTGGTTTTACTTTATTTACCTGTTAATTCACTGTGTATCAAAAGTCTTTGAGTTCCTGAGTTTTAGTTTTCTCTTCTGATTAATATAGCTGCTAAACATAGAAGTAAGTACAGACGCTTCTGAAAGGTTTATGGGGGATTTCTTTTGCCGTATGTTGCTAGGAGAGAAAAGGAAAGTCCCTGGTTTTTGCTAGTTGTACAGGAAAGCAAAGGGGAGAGTGAATGCAGGAGAATGGGGCAAATTTTGAGGAAGAACCCTAGCTTTTGGCATCATGGGTAGCTATGAAGTTTTGGGTAAAATCCAAGAAAAGAAATGAGGAGGCTATTTCTTCACTACAGGGATGGAGCAAGGTTTTAAACACATTGCAGTTCTGCTTTTGGTGATTTTGCTTAGAATTACTGAGCAGTGTAACTGTACGTTTTCCCCAAGTTCTTGTGTCCCTTCTTATCTTCTTGTTCCAGGTAAACATATCAAATTAACTGCATATTTTAAAGCAAGTATTCAAGATTTTCCTCTGTGGCACACATAGATCCAAAGTGTTTTACAAGGCATTTATGCAGGGTTCTCTTCATACCTGAAAGAACATGTCACCACCAAGTGGAAAGAACACACTGTGCTCTACATCAGTACGGAGGGGGAAAGAAGCTTTTGTTCATTGTAAATGCTTGAGGACTTTTGTGCTTCAACAGAAGTGCAGAATCCATCTTGTCTAACATCATAATGCTCTCTAGCAAGGTGTGGAGGTGATTGGTGGCAACTTGTCAGGAGATATGCTCTCTCCTGAGTTATCTGAGTTTTGTGTTGCTGATACAAACACCATCTTCAGAGGCCTCCTGTTTGACTAACTGTTTTTCCCTCTGAATAATTTTACTCTTTTAAAAGGTAATGACAAAATATGGCCCTTCTAATATTAAGGATGCTTGTAGTTTGTTTTTGGTGACTGGGAATGATTCTTATATAAGCAAGCGGGTTTGTCTCCTGGTCATCTTCCTGAGGATGGACAGATTGCCATGTCAGACTTCCCCCAATTCCATTGCTGCTTCTTTTCTCTTCTCTGGTGGTCTGGAACAGGAAACTCCTCCATTTAGCTTGTTCCTCACAAAGTGTCTGTGTGTGTTCCTTGTGTGATAAGAGTACAGAAGCCCAGCAACCCCCAGCAATGTCTGAGGGATAGGTGAAGGCTGGCAAGGAGTATGAGAAGCCCTCTATGGGCTGCTTTAGACTTTGCTCTGTGGGAGATAAGGTGGTTTATTTTATTGCCTGTCTGACAGAAGCTGTGCATCCCAGTGCTGTCCAGTACTGTAGGGCATTGTGACAGAGTATGGAGGTGTCATCTGTGCTGGGGCAGGTGTGTGAGGTTAGAGCTGGAGCCTGAGTTTCTTAGCAGGCAGAAGAGGAACAATGTATGGCTGTCCAAAGATGTAAAACTGCTTTGAGTGCTTTCCAATTTTCTTTGCTTTATTTTTGAATTGACTGTATTTTATAGTTCTAAAAGCTATTCCTGAAAAAAATGAGCTGCTGACTGTGGTGGGAATGTTTTCTGCTGTTTCCTGCCACTGACATGGAGTATATGTCCAGCTGTGACTCTTGAAAGGTTTCATGATCATGAAGAAGTACTAGCAGTAATAGTACAGGCATGTGGTTTAAGAAAAATGCTCTTTATTGTCAGCAATCCTGACATCAGACACACCCAGATTGCTTCCTCTGTCTCTCCTTATCTTTTGCATTGGCTTTTCCCTTTGCTGCTGTTCTAAATAATTTAAGGGTGTTTTTGATAAATGTGTGTGACAATACATTTGAAGTTGTTAGGTATGCAATATCCCATACACATAATTTTGATGTGTCTGTGTGTGTATATATATATGCATATATATACATGTATATGTATAGCAGCACAGCTGGAACCTGTCACTTCACGTGTGGATGCATTGGTGGCGGAAAGTCTTAGGCCTGGAAGAGAAGCTGGAGCACTTCAGTATCAGAAAAGGTACCAGGCAAGTACTTGGCTGCCCCTGCTTCCAGCTGGGAGCTGAGGTAGGTCTCAGTGACAGGTATTTGTGGGGCTTCCTCAGTGTTGCCTTCACTCAGAGGTCAGGCATTGCAAACTCTTGCTCTTCCAGGTTTCACATGGCAACCATTCATATGAAGACCGATTTAGAAAGTTTTATTCTTGTTTTCTCTCCTGTCTCAATTGTCCTTGGCAGGCAGGTGCAGGTAGCTTACCTTTATGACAGCATGGGACCAAACAGAATGTAGCAGGGGCTGTGTGGGACACACTCCAGTGAGCTGCCAGTGTTTAGAAGTGATTAATTTTTTTTAAAGACCCTTTATCTGCTGGTGATTTTAATTTTTCCCCTTTTACAGCTTTGCTTCTTATTGATTTGAAGAGGAAAAAAGAGCTAAAGCCTTGTTTGATAATAGAATATTGATGAGAAAGCTGAGGAAAGAGAGTGAGATGGTGGAAGTCTTTGTTCCTGTTCGACAAAAGATGGAGAATACAGGAGGAGAAATGTAAATGTGTGTGGGGAGGGGGTAGAGGGGAGAGAAGAAAGAGTTATTTAAAATCACAGTTAGGAAATCACTCTTCCTATCTACGTGGCCACAGAGAGATCAATTTTCAATTTTGGTTTCCCTGCCTTTTGTGATTTGAGACAATTGCATGCCGATGGAGATGGGGGATCTGGCTGCAAGTGTTTGTTTAAAACAAATTGTTGGTAGGTATTTTTTTCAGATGAACTGCTTTCTGGATCAATTTAGCATGCTGCAAGGTGAAAGAGGAGAGAACCACAAGGCCCTGCTCTCTCAAGAGAGCATTTACACCAGTGCAACTCTGACTACATCCGTGGTTTTACTTCTCGGTTCAGTGAGGTGCAAGGAGAAAATCGAGCAGGCCCTTGTTTCATGGATCCATGAATTGTCACACAGCGTGTTGAGTATGAAAGAGCAAATGCACCAGAGGCAATTGAATGGCTTGATTTTAAGCAGTGTCAGTAATTTGTACCTCTGCAGGGTCTTGGGTTAACAACAGACCACCTCTTGTCTCTGTAGGTGAGTGTGTGGCAATACAGGATCAACTGCTATTGATAATCAAACCTGTAGACTGAAGCCTCCACTGTGTAAATCAGTGTCATTCATTTCATTCAGCACGTACAGATGAAGATTTGGCTCTGAAAATGTAAATCATTGCTTGACACAAATGCTGTTATCTTTGCTGTTTTGTCAAACCAATGATAAATTTGAAAAGCAAATAAGGTCCCTTTCCCATCCTGATAAATTTCTACAGAAAGTTTTCTATTTTTAAAACCCCAACTAGTTTTGTTGAAATGCGGAGAATGAGAGATAACTATGTGTCTTGACAAATGAAATATTTTTTGCTGTTAATTATTGTTTTTCACCTGGCACAAATCTAAAATCCCATGAAAAAACTTGTAAAAATTTTAGTTTGCTAATCACAATGTGGAGAAGTAGATTAATAGGAGGCTGAGTTTACAACACAAAATTATGGTCTAATAATGTATTCTTTTCAGCACTTCTAATGAAGGCTCTTCTTGAAACTAAATAATTGGGTGGAGCTGTTTAGGAATAAAATAACTGAACATTTTTAGGTCAATATTCAAATTTTTTCATGTATAGTCTGGGCAAGTAGTTCCTCCTAGTAGTCAGGATAATTGCCAGCACAAGTCGCTTATGAGCTATTCAACTGTCTTTTGCACACGCAGCTGTAATAATTTTTCAGGGGTAACCTTGAAAAGTTTGGGTTTAATTTCAGACACAAAAGTCAGAATTGTACTCTACAATGCTATTGGTTTATGTAAGCCTGTTTTTCAAGACAAATTTAAGCAAGAAGCAGAAAAACCACCTCTTGATAATGTTTCTATAAATCAGTCCCTTCAGCTTATTCATCCTTCATATTGCTCATTTCTGAACCCTCGCTTTTGACGTCACATTATCTAATTGGCACATACTTAATGATTGCATTGCGTGAGTGTGGAACTCGTGACTGTGCGTGGAGAGCTGGCTCTGTCCTGAAGGACTGCTATATCTGTGGCCACAGAGTAGGACCGAGTTTAGCCAGGGTGAGACTCTGGGGTGAGGATGCTGGGGGACAGCACAGCAGTGCTGTGCCCCCTGGAAGTGCCTGGAGAAGCCAGGCTGCCACTCCTGGGGCAGAATTCAGTGCTCATGAGGAGACTAAGTGAGATACTGACACAGCTCCTGCCAACCCTTGCCAGCAGTCGTGTGCTCCCCAGCATCTGCTCCAGTGTGTCTGGCAGCTAGGACAGAAGCAGACTGATTTTGCAGGGCTTGTGCTTGTCTCTTCATTCTTTCCCTTCTTCTGTTGAGCAGTTCCTGATCAACAGCTTTGACTTTGTTTTCTCTGCAGCAGGAGGAAGACTTAGATTGGTTCCTGTGACTGCTGTCTGTAGGTCTCAGAGAGATAGGTCAGTCTTTTTTGCACCTATTATCAGAAACAGGCCATGTGTTCCCAAAGTATTACTGAAAAACTAAAGCTGTATGGAGAAAAGACCATCTTTTTTGTTCCACTCTGTTTGGTGCCTAGCCTGACAGGATATGGGCCTAAAAGTGTGGTAAATGACATGTGTCCTTCATCCTTTTGTTCTTAATGTCCAGGAGATGTTGGTGTATTCTTGATGAAAATTTATTTAGCATCTGCCATGAGCCAGGTACAGGTTCTGCAAGTCCAATTATTTCCATCTCTGTCAACACATCAGTCTTTATTTATAACTCCTCTTGATGCTTTGAGTTCAATGGTATGTGTGTTTCTGCCAGTGTGACACAACCCTGAGCATTTCCTTTCTGTCCTAGTGTGAGTGGCCCAGAGAGCTCTGCTGATGCTTGTCAGTGCTATGCAATAGTGAAAAGAGAAAGAAATACAGTTATATGTCAGTTATACGGTTAACATCTGTTATAGATAAAAGAAAGTGGAGGAACACAGATTTTAGGGCTGTGATAATAGATAGGATAGCAAGAAACTTCTAAAGATGCTAGGAGTAAAATCTTAGCTCCATTGACTTCAGTAACAATGAAATTATCTGATTTCATTAGTTTTGGGATTTTACCCAACCGATGTGAAAGGGCATATGCAAAGTACTTGAGACTTGCATTTTCAAGTTCACTTTTTTTGACAAGTCAGTGATAAGTGTGAAGGGAATTCACTGTTTCAAAATGATGGAGGTAGGATCTGTAGTTCTGTTAAGGCCACCTTTCTATAATATGTAATGACTTGGCCAAAAATGTTCAGATACCTGCAGCTGTTTTGACTGCTTTGGTATCTTAACCTTCTGCTGTCTCTGAATTGCTGTTGGCTGTGTGCCTTCTCCCCAGCTGATGAGGGTGTTCTTGTCTGATTAGGAGAAAAGGTGTTCGACATGGTTGAATTACTCCTTTTTTGAGACTCCTTTGTCCATGATAATTTGCAAGTTCTGACTGCCCCTGTTCATTTGTTTCTCTCCTCTTTTCTTCTATTTTCATCTCTTTCTTGTGTTAATTTCCATAGGATAAAGTGATTCCAGTGCTGAATTTGACAATAAAATTTTTCCAGGATAGCTGCTCAACTAGTTGAAACTGGTGCTGGCTATGAACTTGGCCAGTATATGGTTTGCTATTGGGAACTTATCAGGCATT